AGTGAACAAGCAACCTGCGAAGAATAATGATCTGAACGACTAATAAAATTCTCTAGGAATGTTGTTTTCTTACTCATTCTCAGATTCAGAAATGCCATCTGAGCATTATAAACTTGGCCTTATGGTTTATAAACTCAAATTTTCTCTCTAAGTTATTACTTAATGAGAATTTATATTTCATTTCATATGCATGCATCTTTATCTTAATTTGCACTAGTGGGAGTTGAAACTTTAATTTTCACTGGTGAAACTTCACTTTCCACACTTCAATAATACATCTTAGAAAATGATAAACTTATGAAGAAGGTTAGTACGCGGTCATGTTTCATATCCCACTTCATTCTTGTATTATGACTAATGGTAATATTGTCAAGTTTTTCTTGTCGTACACCTGTTAAAAATAAAGAATTTTAAGTTGTCTAGTTGGTATCGTTGATGCTGTTTTAGATTAATTAATTTGTATTTCTATTTCTTTTGCACTATGGCCTTGTTAATAAAAAATCAAATAATCAAAAAATTATCCAAGTATGTTTATCACAATTGTGCTCTTTTCTATACTGAAATATTAATATGTGTCTGTTTGTTTAGATTTGTAAAAAATTTATCATCAAATCAAATTAATTTGAGTACACTTAAAGGTGAAGGTGAATTATCACATATTGAATTAGACGAAAAAGCTTTAGAAGAAGTTACAGAAATACCGACATGGTTAAAAATAAAAAAAGCTAATTGTAATCGAGTATTTATTAAAGTATGTTAAATAAAACTTAGTTGTTTAATTAGTTGTTTTTTTTAAATTCACAAAAATATTTTTATTAAATTAACCTTTGTTTAGATTCCATGGACACGACTGAAAACACAGCCAATACATTTGGTACGATGAATACTTTGAAAACAGCTTGTAGTTAATTTAATTTTGTTTTAGCAATTAGATGATGTGACAATTCAGATGGAAACATGTGAAGAATTGAGAAATCTAAATGAAAATGAAACACCAGGAGTTCAGATAGGAGACAGGCAAGAATTAAATTGATGGGATAATTAATCCTTTGATGAACGATGGAACGTAGATGTTCTCATTTTTTATTTTTTGATCATAGAATTTTAAAAAAAACTAAGAATAATGATTGATTTTTTGGAAAAGGATGATAATATGATATCATGAGAATTCATTTCCCACCATTCATTCTGTTTCTCAGTTTCAATAGAACTTCTATCTATACTTATGTTCATATCTATAAATAGTCACTGCAATGTATAGCATCTCGAGCTTGTTGATCCAATTCTTGCATTTGATAGTCTAGATCAAAGTCTATTCTACCACCAGTTTGCCAGCCATGGATGTCCAAAACATTTAGAACGTGAGAAATAAATTTGCTATACAAGGAGAGAAAAAGTTTAAATCTAACACTAGAACGCCCGTAGCGGTCATTTTGACTGTTTTGTGATTTTTAACCTTAATAAAACAAACTGCATAGTCATAACTTTTAATTTGTCCCACAAAAATTATTTTTTACAGAATTTTTAATTCATTTTTGAATTCAGAATCATTTTTAAGTATAAAATTTTTAAAAAAAACAGTAACGGTCAAAATGACCGCTTTGGGCGTTCTAGGTCATGAAACTTTCCGGGCGTTCTAGTGTTAAAAGATCCCACAAGTTAAAAACGTTTCGTCTTTTGTAAATCAATATAATTGTCCTTCTTTTGACCACAAAATAATTCTTCTGATCTCTTTGATTTATTTTTACTAGCTTTAGTGCACAAAGGTCTAAGTATATTCTATACCATTTTGAAATGAGGACAAGTTTATTGAGACATGCTAACTACCTATGTCCAGTAGACTGCATTATCCTACCATCCTCATTGATACAACTTGACTGACCAAAAATTTACCCATCATAGGATTAATAATTGATTTTCATGTTCTTTTATTGTGCTGCGCAGACTTATCGTTTTAATATATTTACATAAGTTTTATTTTCTTTCTTTTATCTTTTTTTTAGTGTAGCGGGAAAATATGGTTTTACAAATCGCGTTATTGACGGTATATCGTTGACAATAACAAATCTGACATTTACAGTTAAACTTAGTAAATTTGATATCTCAATCTTTGTATGTATTACAACTGTAACACTTTGTCTTACTTTGCCTACTGTATTTGGCCTATTCTAGTTACCAAGTATCGATATTTATAGTACAACACCGTTTGGAAAAAAACCAGACTCATTAAAATCAACACGATTAAGAAATTTAGCGAAAGATCATATAATCTTGTTTAAAGTAAGACGTAATGTTTTATAGACCTAGAATATGAATTGTTTTTTTTTTATTAATTTTTCCATAGGAAATTGCATGGTCCAGTACTCGAATTGAAGCAGCATCTAATGATAGTAGTACGACTGCTGCAGCCATACGTTTAATTGGTAGTTCATGTCGAATGAGAATTATAATGAAAAAAAATTTAAATGGTGAATATATAACTGAATATTGCATTTATCTCTGGGTTTTTACTTCATTCAATATCATTTTTAGATAGTAGTTTAGTAGCATCTCGTGTTCAACTCCATTTCGATGATTTATTGTGGGTTGTGAACGATGCACAATTAAAATCAGCAATGAATACATATTTGGAAATAACAAATTTAATGAAAAAAGCGTCCGATCAACGAAAAAAAAAAGCACAAGATAAACTAATCGTATGTTAAATGATCCTGTTGAAAAAATTTATCCGTTAAGGTTCACATCTTTTTTGCAAGTTCTATCAGCAGGCCAAGTCAATTTTAGTTAGCTTTTCTAGACGATAATTCAATATTATATGACTTGTTGCTGATATAAAGAAAAAAACGTACTAATCGAATAAGTGTAAGCTACAATTTTGTAAAGCTTTCAGAAAAGATGTATTCTGATATGTCAAAACAGTTTCACAGTGTTAAACATTCAAATACTTGTTCTCTATCCTGTTTTTTCAGTAGACCCCCAGAAATTCAACTAAAAAACCAGTTATTGGTTTGGTGTTTTAACAACGCTAGTACGTAAAGAACATACAATATTATAATTATTGAACTGCTAAAATAGATTCAATATGTGCATGTAATTTTAATATATTTCATATTCAAGTTTTTTTATAAAATTTTTCCAGCCAATAGGCAATTTGCAGTACTTTACAGCTCAGTCACCCAGAGACGTAAGAGAAAACTTTCTGTTAGTTTTGATCAGTTTACTGAGCTGCGTCGAATGACAGTGTCTGTTTGACAAAAAAAATCTCAACCTTTTGAGGTCTACCTAGAGGAGACCTCAGGAAGTCAAAAAAAGTCGAAATTTTTTTAATCAAACAGACACTGTCATTTGACGCAGCTCAGTGAACTGATCAAAACTAATAGAAAGTTTTCTCTTACGTCTCTTGGTGACTGAGCTCCAGGAACAAACTTCCTTGTTTCAAGTGGCCTATTCGTACCAAAAATGATCACTAATTACAATTATTTTGCAGTAGAGAATCTTCTTAATCAAACGACAAAAATCCGGTTTTGTAACAGTCTCTCGGTTTTACTAATTATAGTTACACTGCTATATCGCACTCTATTTCATCAATCCGCTAACAAGAAACGGGTTTTTCATTGAACTAAAACAACTTGGAAATATTCTGATGACTGATTGAATCTTTAAAGTGTAGGTTTTCTATAACATAAAAATTTAAATATGTGAACATGATAAATTTTAAATCTTAACCGATGGTGTCCTTTGTTGAAAAATTTCTTCCATTAGATTAGTCGCTTAATCAAAACAATTTTTATAAATAGAGTAGACGATCGCCAGAAGATTTGTTACGATGCAAACAATGTCTTTGTTCTATATTAGAAACAGGAACAATCTCGAACGGCATTTCAACCACAAAAACCGACAACTGGTGATAATAATCAACAGTCATCCGCAAATTCCACTCCAAATATCAGCGATGCATTTGAACGCTATGATGTTCTTGAAACATCTTTACATTTATCCGTAAAACGACTTGATTTACATATTGTTGCTGATTCAGATGTGCTAAGTGAGTACATAAAACACAATTTTTCTTTTTTTATAGCAATAAAAGATCTGTCTCGTATTTATAGAAAATTTCATTTACTCAATTGGTAAACAAGCTAAAAGACTTTTTATATCTGTTGTTGTTGATGTTGTTGTTGTTAGATTAGAGAACACGTTTTTATAATGTTGTTATATGTCTCTGCACTGAATATTTGTTATTATGTGTGTTTTATTACAAAATTTTAACTCACAAACAATACATCCGTTATATTTTTAGGTGATCGTTTAGCTGAGGGTGGCGCACTTCAGTTGACTATCGCTAATCTGACATTTGATCATTATCCATATCATCAATTTGGTAGGTGAAGAGTTTTTACATTCTTCCTTTTAATAATAATTGACTTATCTTCCATAAAAGGTTCATCAAAAAAACATTGGAGCAAATATAGTGAATTACAATCGGATAGTAGAAATGACTGGGCAGGTAGTTTATACAAGGAATGGCAAGACCAAATAAATAAAGCTAAAACAAAAGTTGTCAAAGATGATATGTGTATGTACAATGTCTTATTTGGTCAAGATAAAATGGACTATTATTGCTATTATCATTTTAGCTGTTAAATTAGAAAGCGCTCTTCAAGCAAATCGTATATGTCTATTTGAATCATGTAGTGTAATAAATATTGATGATTTAGTTTTATATCAAGTATCATTGATAAATGATAAATCAGAAAAACATGGAAAAGATCAACGACGACGTCGTGCATGTATTACATCGGATCGTTCACATTATCAATTACCAGAATTTCTTGGCATTGTTAATATACAGTTTGCAGAATATTATTATCCTGATCCATATGCTTTTCCAGGTAAAATAAAGTTACGCTAGAAAACGATTTGTTTTTAAACTAATATTTGTAAAATCCAATCTAAAATCTCGATGATTTTTTTAGTTCCAAACAGTGATTTGTATATTCAGTTATTGCCTGTACGATTTGTTATTGATTTTGCTACATTAAGTTGGATAAATGCGTTTATGATGACGATGTCGACAACAATGGTAGGTCAATTTATCTATGTGAAATAATATGAGTTAACCTGTTGGCTACATTCATATTACTCATTTTTTTTAAGGAAAAAACGATATTGGCTGAACCAAGTGAACCTGAACATGTTGATATTATGATTGATGCTATGCTACCTAGAGTTAGTAAATATTTCTCTTCTTCTTGCTGCTTCTTTTTTCACATTTTATCTATTTGCTTTAGATTGTTGTTACATCTGATATTTTTTCTCCCTCTTCTACTACTAGTACTACCACAAAATTAAACTCATCTGATTTAAAGTCATCATCATTAGTTCGAAATGAATCTACTCAGTTCAACACATTAGAACTAACATTTTCAAAATTATTATTGACAAATACACGCATAGATCAAATGAGTTCAACATCAATGTTAGAAAAACACTTAAATTTATTCAATAAAAAAGAAGTAATTATTTGACGAACTTCGTCTTGTTTACATTGTTCTTAAACCTAATCTCTTTCTTTTGTAAGACATCCGGTACGTCATTTTTTGATCAAATGAATTGGCCACTATCTTCTGATCCCACTGTTAAATCAAGAATAAGTCCATTGTTTAAACAAACATCTGAACAATCATATTTATATAAAAATCCCTTAAATAGTGATCAAAAATTAAAACAAGTGAAAGAACCAAAATCGTCGACAACTGCACTTCATTCTTATTATACAATGACAACCGATTCATTAAAAAAATCATCGAAATATGATATCTGGCATTTTACTGGTGAAAAGATTTGGTGTGATTTTAATCTGTCACGATCAATAGCCAAACAATCGATGATCGATTCATTAACCATTAGTGGATGGATGGTTCTCGATCAAAATAATAAAGATGATGGTAAGTATTCTTTCATAATACAACGTTTGTTAACGAAATTTACTATTTCAGAGTCAAAATCAGACGATTCATTGTTGAATATCTTATGCGTGATCGAAGGTAATTCAATGATCAAAATTACCCAAAAACAGTATACATTTGTAATGAATTTAATTAATGAAATTGGATTATTTTTGGATGTACTTGATCAAACAAAATTACAAAGTGATTTAATTGAACGGAAAACGTCTGGAAAAAGAAGTAAAGAAACGAAAATAACATTGTGTTTAACAACGCCATCACAATTAACATTAGCTGTTTTGGAATCATTGGAAGAATTAGGGGAAGAATCATCATCAGTACAAATTTCAATTCTTGGTGAATCGAACGGTATCGTATCAGATAGTGGACAAACTACAACTGTTTCAAATCTAGATATTAATACTGAACCAAATGCAACATTACAGGATTCATCAGATGCAAATTTAGGTAAATCAACAATTTTCGTTTATCCTTATCTAGTACACTACTTGTCTTTTTGTTTAGTTGTCGATTTGGTAACCACGCCGGCTGCCATACTAGCTGGTACCGTAAAATTAGAAGCACCAGTTCAACCCTCTTTACCTTCACCAAGTATTTCCGTTATTTCATTATCCAACGAATCCACAGCATCATCCACTGCGACCAACAATTTGACAAAAGGTTTCAGTTTATTAGGTCAAAAGCGTTCAAAGATTGAAGAAACAGTACAAAAAGGTTTAGATACATTGAAAGTACGTGCCCCATCACAATCATCATTATTCAATTCGGGTTCAGCTGGCAGTGATTCGGACGAAACATCATCACAATGGGATTTATCAGATGATTTGGATGCTGATTTAGAATCAAATTTTGGTGATGATAATATGAAAAATGGTGATTTACAACAAAAAGGAGCTAGAATTGATATTGATGATGATTTAAATAGTTTGAAAGGTGTTAGTGCCCATAGTGGATTTGATCTGGTACGTTTCTGTACACATTTATGATTTTTTTACGGTGGAAATTATCGAAGCAGAAGTAGTCATGAACTTTATTTCACGTATCAGTCGTAAATGAGAATAGTTCAAGCAATCGTTGATTCTTTCATATTTACTATTTTAGGTCAATGGAACATTTGTCAAACTAGATCGTATTGATTTATGTATTACCGAGGAAATTTCATCAAAACAATTTTATGTTGGCTGCAATATCAATGATATACATGTTGATGAATTTATTGGACTCAAATTTGAAAATATTAAACCAAAATTATTCGATAATAACAGTATATATTATATTATGAAAAACAAAAACATGTTCATGATAAATTTTTTAAATTCTAGTTCCATGTAACACTGTAAATTCTCCAATTATCAATGTTCCCGTGTATGCTCGTATTGATTTTCCAAAAGGATCGGAACCACCACATGTTCGGATCGAAGTTAAAGATCGTCGGCTACAAATAAGCAAACATTCCATTGATATTCTATCAGATACACTAGAAGAAATAAAACCCATGCATGATAAAATTGAAGAACGACAACATTCAAACATGGTAACAATAGATGTACTATTAACAAATATGAGTCTTTTACTTGAAGTACGTGTGTATGTTATATCTCTTTCTATCCTTTAATTACTTGTTCTTTTATCTCAGACGATAAGTCCTACGCTTGGATCAATAATCAGTCCAAAACCACCACTGGATATTCAAATTGAACAATTGCATGTTAGAAGACTTAAAAATGGACAAGTTGTTATGGAAAAACAAACGGATAATGGACTACAGCTAAATGATAAACGTAGATATTTAAATTTTCATAGATTTAAACAAAAATTGATTAGGAGAATTGTTCATGAGTTTGGATTTGTTTGTACCATACAGATTATTCTGTGTAACGTATTATCTCTCTATTCTAGCTCAATCGAAACAATGTGCCGTCGTGGATGATCAAAAATTAGATGAAAAGTTAAAACACTATGATTTAGTTGAACGTGAAAATGATCGTTTACATGTAGAATTAGATGCTCATAAACAACAAATAATTGCTTTAAGACAAGAACGTGATTCTCTAATAGCAAACATATCAAAATTAGATGTTGAATTAACAAAATCAGAATTTGTTCGAGTACAACAACAAGAACAACATCAACATAAATAAGATAAAATATATAAAATCGTCCCACCTGTAGTAAATTCAACACTTTATTTTTCTATTTCACTATTTATATCGGTTTTGTATGTATGGGTGTCTCCTAATTCTTTTATTCAATGATTTTTACTGTAAATTCTATTTTTTAAAATGATGTTAAAATTTATACAATTTATTTATTTACTTATTTACTTATTAAAGATATACTTAAGCATAAAACAGCTATGTAACATATCTTAGAAAAATAGAAGGAATAGTCTGTACTTTGGAATGGAACACTCTTTCAGTCCAGAGATGCTATTCTATGAAAAAGTAAAATGTTTAAACTCATCATAGCCTTAATTTGATTAAAACTGAAATTGAATTACTTTTCTTCTAACTCAAAGCAATTTTAAAAAGTCAAAAAATATTAATATCAATTAGTGAATGTAAAATTTGATTGTATAGAATTTAACTACTTCAAAAACTCTAATTTTTTTTCCACTTCTTGATATTATTCAAACATGTTCAACTCACTATGTATGTACTTTACTAAACAGAAATGTATAAACGTAACGTACGATTCAAAACGCTGCCCAATTACTTTGAAATAATTTATTTCTATGACAAGTGGTTTTCAAATTAGTGCCTATCACAGAAAACGATTGCATGAATATAACTTACGTAGGTATGCACTAGTTGTAGTTAGTTAAAAAGCACTTAGCTGTAACTAAACTATAAAAGTAGTACGTTAAAAAAAACTCTTGAAAGAAAAATAAACACAATTCGAATATTTTGAGTGCGTAAAAGCGTCGGGAGTTGACTATACGACTTTCATGTTTTGAGAATGTCCTTATATAAATGCAAGAAACATAGAAAGAAGAAAGACTTAAAAGATCAGTTACATCTAAATATGCTACTGTAGTCATTAATATGAAAGTAATTTTTGCTTTTATATTGATCATCATTCAGATCTGTTTATATATTATTTTGATTACAAACTTCATAGGCTCTATGTTAACCAAGCGTGAAAAGTGTATACTTTTGCGATGCGAAATAAAATAAAATTTTGTTCAGGCCCACCCCCTCAGGAATTCGATGTTTTCTTCAAAACCTTCGAAACTGAAGTAACCATACGATTCAGTATCCCAAAGTGTCATCTTTCAGAATTAAAGTTTTTAAGATTGTCTGTATTAACAGACATGGAGTTGTGATCAAAATGAGATATCCAGCAGCTTTATACGACTTTGTCTTGCAGAGTTATACTAGTTTGCGCTGAACTGTAATTAATGAAGTGATGACATCATTGCTTAGAATACGGTTTTGGCGCAGTAAAGTTGTAATAACTCCTAGACGATTCATCGTAAAGCCTTCATTCTTTTTTTATTTTGAAACTAAGACATTTATCTACACTTTGATCCGCGGTGATTTTTATGTCGACAGACATTATGTGTTTTTGCTGGGATTTTTGTTTTTTATTTTCTTTTTTTCTTGCTTTCTTTCGTCCCTTTTTTAGGCAAAATATGCACCTCGTGATCTGGAGAACTATTAAAGCTAAAAAAGTTCTGAAAAAGGTAGGATAATCTCCCGACATCGGAGATTAATCAATGCACGTTCTTTTTTCAAAACTAAGTCCAGATTCGGCGTTACGTGATCTAGAGAACTATGAAAGCTAGAAAAAGGTACAATATTCTCTCGACATTGAAGATTGATCAGTGCACACTTTTCTCGCAAATAAACGTCCAGATTGGGTGCCATAGGCACCACAAGTGAAAGATAAATGTACTTTGGACTTTTTTGTATATTCAGTTGTCCGGCGCCATTTGCTATGTACTAAACTGCAAAAACAAGTGTCAGTTTCACTAATGAATAGAATGTAAACATAATCAGAGTTGGTCTTGAAAAGCTGAACAAGTGTTCTTCAATTACAGAATATTCTGCTACTTGTCCCGTGTCTTTTCCAGATCCACGGACGTTTCTAGGACCCATCAGTTCCAAATAGTCTAATAAATGGTAAGTCAACCCTAGTCGAGACTCCCGGCAAAACTCCCACGGGACTCCTGTCACGGGGTCCTGCGGGTTCCTGGAGGATCCTGTAGGAGTCAGGTGGGACTTTCAAGGGATTTCTCAGGACTCCTGAAGACTCCCGTGGGACTTCTGTGGAGGTTTCGAGTCCTGCGGGAGTCCAACGAAAGT